TGTGTGTCTGTGAGACACTCAGAGCATGGCTCAACCCTACCCCCTGCTGCTGTGTCTCATATACAGTACATTGCTGGATCAGGATCAGACTCATGTGAGTATAAGGGGGCTGAGAGGGAAGCTGTACACTGAAGGTTTTTTACCTTCATGCATAGAATACATAAAGGTAATAAAATCTTCAGCCTTTAGAACCACTTTAAAGGTTTACTAAACCCATGACCCTGCATTCACTATATCTGGTCTCCCACAGTACACAGAACATGGAAGTGCAATTATTTTAGGAAATATAAACTGCTAAATACCTTTTCTCATCAGCAGTATATAGCAGTTTTGTGACTTCTATCAGTGTCCAGCTGAGCACTGGTTAAAGCTTGTAGGAGGAGTTTTCATTCTATTCTGACTGTCCTATGAGGTTGCATGACCCCTAACCCTCTGTCTGGACAGTGCTGATTGGCCCTGTGCTGATCACATGCACTCTTCCAAAGACAAAAAAAAACTCTCTAGCAATACACACTAAACTTAGCATATGCAGAGTGACTGTACTATCACTAGATGGATTGGGGACAGTAAAAGAAGGGAAGGATCAGAGAAGACAAGAACACAGCCTTTTTACACAATGTGGAGGATTAACCCCTTAGGTTCCACAATGCATATGACAAGCATGCTTTACTGCATTTACAGACTGATTTTACTGTTGTGAGTTTAGTAAAACTTTAAGAATATTGCCCTGAAAACAATATTTTCCTACCATACATTAAAGGTGTATTTTTGAATTAACTGAAACTAATTCTCTGTTACAGCTGCTGATGAACTGTACAGTTTAATAATATAGGCCTGAGAACACAGTTGCCTCCATCAAGAAGAAATATGTTCTCTAAAACTATGCAGCAGTGTGGGTTTTAGAACCCAAGTCATTGTTTTTTCCTTCTACAACAAGCATATTCATATTGTGTGCTACTAAGTTGTTTTTCTTTTTTAATATACTGTATGCACAGTCAGATATTAAAAAAAATTCAAACTGCAATATTTCTATTTATTAGAAAAATTTTACTTTACTGTGGGGCAACTATAACAAAATTTTAGCCTCCTCATCTACAAGTGAAGTGTAACAGACATATATACCACAGTAAGTTAACAAAGGGTAGGTAAGAAGATAATGAAATGCTGGGGGTTGGAGGCTAGATTGTACTAGCAGCAGCAAGAATATCAGTAGCAAGAGACATGTTTCCAAAGTCCTACCAGGCTGATTAATCCCAATTCAAGTGGTTTATATTGGTGAGTGAATGGCTCATTTGTCTTTGTAGTCAAGTGGGAGGATGATGATGATTAATGGGAGACTTTAGCATCTAGTCAGGGTATAGATTAGACCTCCTCCTCCTCAAACTGTGCAGGTATCCTTCATATGCATCCACGCTGACAGTCTCTAGTAATCTTTTAGTCACAATCTTTATCTTTTCTACTGACAACAAGCCTTTCACTACATATAACCAAGTCAAACTCAAAGTCAGGGGTAGGAGGAGTGCTACAAAAGCCCTAATGCAAGCATTATAGAACGGTCATTAACCACTTGCCCTCCAGAGGATTTAGCCCCTTTCCTGACCAGGCCATTTTATGCGATACAGCACTGCGTTACTTTAACTGACAATTGCGCGGTCATGCAAAGCTGTACATCAATGAAATTTACGGTATGTTATTTTTTTTCCCACAAATAGAGCTTTCTTTTGGTGGTATCTGATCGCCTCTACATTTTTTTTTTTTTTTGCGCTATAAACAAAAAAAAACCATCAATTTTGAAAAGAAAAAAAAACAATTTTTACTTTTTGCTATAAAACATATCCAATTAAAAAAAAGTCTTCATACATTTAGGCCAAAATGTATTCTGCTACATGTCTTTGCTAAAAAAAATCCAAATACATGTAAATTAATTGGTTTACATGAAAGGTATACCATCTACAAATGGCGGTATATATACTGGAATTTGTATTTATTTTTTTTCATGCTAGGAATGGTGGCGATCAGCGACTTATAGCGGGACTGGGGCATTGCAGTGGGAATTCTGACACTGGGTGAGAACTGACTAATGTCCACTGACATCTCTAGTGACACTAATACAGTGATCAGTGCTAATATAAAGCACTGACACTGTACTAATGACACTGGTGAGGAAGTGGTTAACATTTGGGGCGATCAAAGGGTTAACTGTGTGTTGTATTGTGCTTACACTGTATGCTGTTTTACTAGGAAGACGTGCTGCTTCTCTCTCTCTGCTGGGCAGAGAGAGAGAGAAAGCAGTATGTCCATGCTGACAGGAGAGAGATCTGTGTTGTTTACACACAGATCTCTCTCCCCTCAGCTTTAGCAGCAATCACCAAGTGCCAGCCGAGAATCGCTAGCCGGGGCCCGGTGATTGACATCCCCTGCAACCAATGGCAGTGTGGGTAGGGCAGCACATGCAAGTGCCCGCCCCCTTACCCGGAACTACAAAATCCCTTATATATACGTGATTTTGCGCAGAGCGGACGCCCTGTAGTAGTATATCTGCTATAGGGCAGTAAGCAGGTGATTAATATAAAGAGGAGAGGGTTGACAGTAGAACAACTGTTGTGAAATAAGTATTGGTGGGAATTAATATGATGTGTGTATCAAATCTAGGATGATCAGGCAGATGCACTAGAACACGGGTCTCAAACTGGCGGCTATCCAGCTGTTGCTAAACTACAAGTCCCATGAGGCATTGCAAGATTGAGAGTTACAAGCATGACTCCCAAAGGCAGAGGCATGATGGGACTTGTAGTAAGTTGAAATTTCAACAGCGTCTATCTTTTTGCTCCAGATGCATTCATTTATTTCTATCAGTAAAAGTCTGTCAATTTGGGACCATTGTAGTCCTATTTGGAGCACTGTCTCTATCTCTTAATTTTTTTTACAGGTATGTTTTCTTGCTGCTGTTAATGAATTGTCCAACCTTCTGGCAGTTAAGGAGTATGGAAAGCCAAAATCTATTTTTTTTGTTTGTTTTTTTTCAGCTGTCTGTGCCCTGCTGGGGGGAGTTTCCCTTCACTTACTCCAGTGTTTCTCAACTCCAGTCCTCATGGACCCCCAACAGGTCATGTTTTCAGGATTTCCATTATTTTGCACAGGTGATTTGATCAGTTTCACTGCCTTAGTAATTACCACAGCTGTTTCATCTGAGGGAAATCCTGAAAACATGACCTGTTGGGGGTCCATGAGGACTGGAGTTGAGAAACACTGACTTACTCTCACAGTAACATAAAATCAAGTAAGAGGGAAACACTCCAGAATCAGGATCAGAAGAAACATCTTCTTAGATAGTTGCCACCAGAGCAGGTTTTCTCATTGAAAAGTTTAATATTACCTCCTGTTCCACTGACAGCTCTGGAATTTTGGGTGAATCTCTCTAGTAGTTAAACACAAATAGCAGTAAAAACATGTGTCTTTTACCTCTTCTTCACTCTAATTAAAATTAAACATGAAACATTTAAATTGCATAACCTTTAATTATCTGTTATTTGCAGCAATAAAGATAAACAGAAAGAATGTGCTAAAGCAATTTGGTTTGCTTCACACAAACTCCCTTTTCCCAGGAGCTGCAAGGACATCCTCTTTCTCTCGTATAATTGAAAAAGTATGTGACCATTCATTTATGGAAATGTCAAATTATTAATTGGCCATAGTAACGTTATCAAGATTCTGTTACTGTACTCAATGTGATAACAGTAGATTTGAGGTATAGCAAATTTGACAGATACTGTATATCTATATTTATGAATCTCACTCTCTACCTGTCAAAATAATTTTTTTTCTGGAAGTGCTTATAACACTGTCCCTCTATACAAGAGCCAATTGTTCTAAAGGGGTAAGTAGAAGCATTGACCAAAATATGTCAGAGTGGATGATGGCTTTTATCCTGTTGTTGCTCTAATAATGTTTCTCTAAGTGGATTTGGACAAGAGTGCTGGCTATTTTGTATACTGACATTAATGAAGGGCATAGACACTTATCACACTTCTTCCTATGTAAAATTTTTATATGCCTGTTGGCACAGGTGCTCACATTTACCCTGATATCTGGAAATGCATTTGAATATATATATACAGTATATATACTGAATTTGTTATTTAGCTGTTATTACATGTGTTTCTATCATTCTGTGTGAACAAGCCAAATGGAGCCGTTGCAAATTTGCAGGCATTTTAACTTTTCTTTTTCTTATAACAGGTGTTCTCATGGTTTTCCATGCACATTTAATTATCTTGTGGATACCTATTTGGGTTGGTTTTAGAGATGACCCATCTTGCAAGTACCAAGCTCGCACTTCAGAAACATGTTCTGCTGTGTATTAGGCTCACATTATGGGCATTCTAACCCTTTCAATGGCAATTAGTGGTGGGAGACTTTTATCAGCATTTGCAGCTTTTTTTGTTTATCAGTGCACAGGTGACATTAGCAGTGCAGTGCCTTGAAAAAGTATTCGCACCCCTTGAAATTTTCCACATTTTGTCATGTTACAGCCAAAAACGTAAATGTATTTTATTGGGATTTTATGTGACAGACCAACGCAAGGTGGCACATAATTGTGAAGTGGAAGAAAAATGATAAATGGTTTTCCATTTTCCAATTTCTGAAAAGTGTGGCAATCATTTGTATTCAGCCCCCTTTACTCTGATACCCCTAACTAAAATCTAGTGGAACCAATTGCCTTCAGAAGTCACCTAATTAGTAAATAGAGTACTGTGTGTAATTTAGTGTCAGTATAAATACAGCTGTTCTGTGAAGCCCTCAGAGGTTTGTTAGAGAACACTGGTGAACAAACAGCATCATGAAGGCCAAAAAACCCACCAGACAGGTCAGGGATAAAGTTGTGCAGAAGTTTAACCACCTTCCGCCCGCCATATAGTCCAATGACGAGCGCAAGGTGGTTCTCTAGTTCTGAGAGGACATCATATGACATCCTTCCATTCTCACAGCGCATGCGTGGCTCAGGGAGCGCGCAGCGTGGCGATCGGCGGTGCGCTGTGTCCCTCAGACACATCGGATCACCGATCCACGGAAAGAGCCGAAGATGTTGGCTCGGTCATGTGATCAGCTCTGTCCCATCACAGCTGATCACATGTAAACAGGGAAATGCCGCTTATCGGCATTTCTCTCCTCTGGAGCTGTCACGCTGACAGCTCGAGGGGAGAGGAGATCCGGTAATTGGCATTCCACGGAGGGGACATATACACTGATCATCAGGACACTGATGGTCAGTGTTCCCTGATGATCAGTGTGGCCCCAGAAGTGCCACCTGTCAGTGTCCATCAGTGCCAGCTGTCAGTGCTGAACAGTGCCACCTGCCAGTGCCCATCAGTGCCACACCAATGCCACATATCAGTGCCTACCAGTGCATATCAATGCCACATATCAGTGCCCATCTGAGCTGCCTTTCAGTGTCACCCATCATGCCAGTCAGTGCCACATATCAATGTCAATCAGTGCCACCTATCAGTGCTGCCAATCAGTGCCACCTATCAGTGCCACCTATCAGTGCCAGTCAGTTCCGCCTATCAGTGCCAGTCAGTGCCACCTAACAGTGCCAGTCGGTGCCTCTTATCAGTGCCAGTCAGTGCCACCTATCAGTGCCATATATCAGTTCCATATATCAGTGCTGCCTTTCAATGCCCATCAGTGATGCCTGTCAATGCCCATCAGTGCCACCTACCAGTGCCTCCTCATCAGTGCCCATTAGTGCCACCTATCAGTGTCCATCAGTGCATCTTATCAGTGGCCATCACTACAGCCTCATTAGCGCACATCAGTGAAGGAGAAAAATCACTTATTTACAAAATTTTATAACAAAAATTAAGAAAAAACTGTTTTTTTTTTTAATTTTCTGTGGTTTTTGGTTTGTTTAAGAAAAAATAAAAAACCCAGAGGTGATTAAAAACACCAAAATAAAGCTCTATCTGTCACAAAAAAATTATAAAAATTTCATATGGGTACAGTGTTGCATGACTGCGCAATTGTCATTCAAAGTGTAACAGCGCTGAGAGCTGGAAATTGGCCTGGGCAGGAAGGGGGTATAAGTGCCCTGTAGGCAAATGGTTAAAGCAGGGTTAGGTATAAAAAAAAATATCCCAAGCTTTGAACATCTCATGGAGCACTGTTCAATCCATCATCAAAAAATGGAAAGAGTATGGCACAACTGCAAACCTAGACATCGCTGTCCACCTAAACTGACATGCTAGGCAAAGAAATCATTAGTCAGAGCAGCAGCCAAGAAGCCCATGGTAAGCTGCTGAGGAACTGCAGAGATCCACAGCACAGGTGGGAGAATCTGTCCACGGGACAGCTATTAGTAGTGCACTCCACTAGTCTGGCCTTTATGGAAGAGTGGAAAGAAGAAAGCCATTGTTGAAAGAAAGCCATAAGAAGTCCCATTTGCAGTTTATGAGAAGCCATATGGGGGACACAGCAAACATGTGGAAGAAGGTCCTCTGGTAAGATGAGACCAAAATTGTACTTTTTGGCCTAAAAGCAAAATGCTATGTGTGGCAAAAAAGTAACACTGCACATCGCCCTGCACACACCATCCCCACTGTTAAACATGGCGGCATCATGTTGTGGGGACACTTTTCTTCAGCAGGGACATGGAAGCTGGTCAGAGTTGATGGAAAGATGGATGGAGCCAAATACAGTTCAATCTCAAAAAAACCTATTAGTGTATGGAAAAGACTTAAAACTGGGGCAGAGGTTCACTTTCCAGCAGGACAGCGACCATAAACTTACAGCCAGAGCTACAATGGAATGGTAGATCAAAGAATGATCATGTGTTAGAATGGCCCAGTCAGACCTAAATTTAAGTCCAGACCTAAATCCAATTGAGAATCTGTGGCAAGACTTGAAAATTTCTGTTCACAGATGCTTTCCAGCCAATCTGACAGAGCTTGTGCTATTTTGCAAAGAAGAATGGCAAAAATGTCACTCTCTATATGTGCAAAGCTGGTAGAGACATACCCAAAAACTCTGGTTCACTCAGAATCTCTAGCACCTGTGCATGTAGCCAATCAGCTTCTAACCTCAACTTGTTCATTTAAGCTTTAGCAATAAAACTTGTAAGCTGATTGGTTTCTATGCAGAAGTGTATGAGATTCTGAGTGAACCATCTTTAGTAAATAAACCCCTGTGGGTATTCTATTGCTCCAAGGAGCTATATTGCGCCAAGGACTAACATTTGTTATGCGCTTTGTCATTACATTAATTTTAAGTGCTTTTAATCCCTTATTTTAACTAAATAAAAGACGTAATCCACATTCTGATGGAAGCTTAGTCAGGTACTCCCATCAGATGATAATGGGGGGAGGCTACATCATATTATTTATTGAAACCTTTAAGGAAACAAACTGTATCAACTTCATATCATCTTAGAAGTCACATCACCAAGGTAAGCAGATTGTATATCTACTGGGTGAAGATTTTGCACTTCATAGTTGGAGTTGGACATTATCACTCATGAGCTGTTTTAATCACAAAAACTGTATATTCACATAGTTGCTTTTTTTGTTTTGGAACTTTTTGTGTGATTTTTTTCTAATTTTTGTTTTATGATGCAATGATATGAATTATGATTATATAAAGTGATTATTATTTGACTGTATTTTGGATATGCACATCATATATGTATGTGTATTGTAGAGACTGAAGTAATATTGATTTGATTATTTGTACAGGTATTGAGCTAATTAGTTTGCAAATAAAAAGGAGCAAAAGGAGTTAGAATGGAAGTATATACAGTTGAAAGAAAAAGTATGTGAACCCTTTGGGATTACGTGGAGTTTTGCATGAATTGGGCATAAAATGTGCTCTGAACGTCATCTAAGTCACAACAATAGAAGAACACAGTCTGCTGAACATAATACTACACAAACATTTAGATGTTGCCATGGTTTAATTGCATATAACATGTAAACATTCACAGTGCAGGGAGGAAAAAGTATGTGAGGCCCTAGCTTAATGACTTCTCCCAGAGCTAATTGGAGCCAGGAGTGAGCCAACCTTGACTCCAATCAGTGTGATGATATTGGATGTGTTGCTGACAGCTGTCCTGCCCTTAAAAACACACACCTGTTTTTGGTTTACTGGTTTCAAGAAGCACTATCTGATGTGAACCATGCCTCGCAGAAAAGAGCTCTCAGAAGACCTACGATCAAGAATTGTTGACTTGCATGAAGCTGGAAAGGGTTACAAAAGTATCTCCAAAAGCCTTGATGTTCATGTGTCCATGGTAAGATAGACTGTCTACAAATGGAGAAAGTTTAGCACTGTTGCTCCTCTCCCTAGGCATGGTCGTCCTGTAAAAATGACTGCAAGAGCACAGCGCAGAATGCTGCATGAGGTAAAGAAGAATCCCAGAGTGTCAGCTAAAGACCTACAGAAATCTCTGGCACATGCTAACATTTTTGTTGACACATCTACAATAAGGAAAACATTAAACAAGAATGGAGTACATGGGAGGACACCACAGAGGAAGCCATTGCTGTCCAAAAAGAATATTGCAGCACGTTTGAAGTTTGCAAAAGAGCACCTGGATGTTCCACAGCACTACTGGCAAAATATACTGTGGACAGATGAAACCAAGATTGAGTTGTTTGGGAAGAACACACAACACTATGTGTGGAGAAAAAAAGGCACAGCACACCAACATCAAAACCTCATCCCCACTGTAAAACATGGCGGAGGGAGCATCATGGTTTGGGGCTGCTTTGCTGCCTCAGGGCCTGGACGGATTGTTGTCATTGATGGGAAAATGAATTCCAGAGTTTATCAAGACATTTTGCAGGAAAACGTACGACCATCTGTCCGCCAACTGAAGCTCCGCAGAGGATGGGTGATGCAACAGGACAATGACCCAAAGCATACAAGTAATTCAACAAAACAATGGCTGCAACAGCACAGAATATGCCTTCTGGAGTGGCCCAGTCAGAGTCCTGACCTCAACCCGATTGAAATGCTGTGGCATGACCTTAAGAGAGCGATTCACACCAGACATCCCAAGAATATTGCTACACTGAAACAGTTTTGTGAAGAGGAGTGGTCCAAAACTACTCCAGATCGTTGTGCAGGTCTGATCTGCAACTACAGGAAACGTTTGGTTGAGGTTATTGCTGCCAAAGGAGGGTCAACCAGTTATTAAGTCCAAAGGTTCACATACTTTCTCCTCCCTGCACTGTGGATGTTTACATGTTATGTGCAATTAAACCATGGCAACATCTAATGTTTGTGTAGTATTATGTTCAGCAGACTGTGTTCTTCTATTGTTGTGACTTAGATGACGTTCAGACCACATTTTATGCCCAATTCATGCAAAACTCCACGTAATCCCAAGGGGTTCACATACTTTTTCTTGCAACTGTATATTTATGCTTATGGGCATCTCATAGGTTCAGTTCCACTATAAAGGAGCAAAAGCAAATTTTAATAGGTCTAGAATGAAGTCCAATACTACAGTGGCATAATATATTGATAAACTGACTGTGTAAGCATTCACCTACTGTATCTTCATATGACATTACTGAAACAGACTGATTTCTAATGACCATGAACAATCTAACTTTCATGTTTCCCATGATGGACATTACATGGATTTTATTGCCAGCCATAAATATACTGTATTTTCTGACAGTAAAAACCCTTTTGAAGAAAATGTGAAGCACTACATTTATGGAGATCTACTTGATCTGCAAGTACATCTTTAGGCCAGCTCTAAAGAAACACTACAGTAAATAGAAAAAGAAAATATTGAAAATAATTCTAGATTAAAAACTAACATGATAATACTCATTACTTTTGGAATTTCCAGAATGATCAGTTAGTTCTGAGGCTACAGATGTACAAGATACTGAGAAAAAAATTGGAGTGTAAATAGGGCGCATGAGCATGTATGTTTTCACCAAGCAACTACAAAGAAATTACTCACCAAGAGAACACTTTTTCAGATTTTGGAGCTAGTAAATTATTTGTAACGAGAGATAAAAAGATGAGCAGGAATTATTGTTTTAAAAAAGAACTCATATTTAAAGTGAATCTCCAGTAAAGAAGAAAACATCTTTCTTGGTATCTTCTGTCTAGCTATAATAGAAATGACTATGAAATATGTGCAGTGTATACACCGCACATTTCTTAGAATTAACAAACAATAGCACTTACCATTTCTTAGTGTTATGGCTTTGAACGTGTGCATATGCTTTGATTTAGTTCTTTACCGTTCTTTACCGTGTAAAAAAAACTTGACCATAGAAAGAAGTCAAATCAACAGTGTATGGAAATAAAGGTTTCCAATGTGTTACTATGTTATGTACTGGTGAATGTGAATATTGATTTTACATGATCAACCTACAAATGATCCATACGTTTTAACAGCGGGTTAATCACAAAAAGCAATATTCACATTCATGAACATCAATGGAGAAAATGGTAATTGGGTTCTGAGAATGCAATTTTCTGATTGAACTT